GAATAGAATACTAATTACTAGTAGCTGGGTTGGTCCCTTATATTTAATTAAGTAATTGGATCTTTTATTCCTTTAAAAAATAAAAATAAAAATAGTGACGATCAGATATTTTCAAAAGTATACAATGAAATGGTTGATAAAAAAAAAAAAGTATACAATGAAATGACTTCAGTACGGTGGCAGGACTTAGTAGATAAAAGTTCACTGAAATGACACCATAGTCCACATATTTTATCAATCATTCAATCGGTGGACCATGACTTGGCGGGACTTACTGGACAGCAGCTAATTGAAATGACTCTACAGTCCATTCATTTATAAAAAAGGAGAAGAAATGACTTTACAGTCCATTCATTTATTAAAAAGAAGAAAAAGGAGTAATGACTCCACAGAAGCTGCTTCACAGGATCATTGCCAGATCTAGAATTATTTTTCAGAGTGGACAAATGAAGGCGATAGAAAAGAAAATTTTTAAATAATTATTATAAATAATATCTTTTACAAAAATAAATAATATTTATTAGTATTTATTAATAATTTATTAATCATTAATGAAGTAATCTAAATGCCATTAATTGAAAGATAAAATGAACATATATAATAAATAAATAAATAAATACAATTAAAAAAAGAAAATTAAAAAAATTTTAATGAATATTTTGTAAAAGGATTATATTAACTAATTTTTATTCAATTAACTTTTTTTCATTTTTTTATTATTTATATTTTCCTCATCTTTTTTACTAACACTTAAAAATAATATTAAATAAAAAATTATTTAAAATAGTAAAATAAAATTTAAGGACCAAACTTTTAAGTTTTCAAAAACTCAGGCCGCCTTGCTGACATCCACCGATACCAAGGATAACAACAACGAACCACTGCTTTTCAAAAAGAGAAACAAAAGCTGCTCCCCAGGTGGACCAAGACTGCAGCACGTGGCCAGACTGATTGAACAGCAGTCCATTAAAAAATAATTTTACGGTCCTCAGACTATGATTTTAGGCGAGACTTATTAGACAATAATTCATTAAAATAATTCATAGACTGACTTCGGTTCGTGGCGGGACTTAGTAGATAACAGTCTTTAGAAACGGCTCCACAATTTAAGAGTAGTTGTTGTCGGCGTCAAACATGCAATGTATTCAGACATTAGAAGGCTCCGTCATGAGTCTGATTATTACTTTTCAAGAGACACTACGTGAGGGGAATTATTTTGGTACAGATTTCTTAGCTGGATTTGGGAATAGCTTGTCGGTTGGAATTAGTGTCTATGATCCTCCTGGTCCTGTATTATTGAATATTTTAAATAATAAAATTATTTAAAATAGTAAAATAAAATTTAAGGACCAAACTTTTTAAGTTTCAAAAACTCAGGCCCCCTTGCTGACCTCCAACGATACCAAGGATAGCAACGTACCACTACTTTTCAAAATCAGAGAAAAATGCTGCCCCCCAGGCGGACCAAGACTCCAGCACGCGGGAAGACTGATAAACAGCAGCCCATTAAAATGATTTTATGATCCTCATGTCTTTTTTTTTTTAACATAGGTAATTGGGGGTAGGGGAAAGGGGTGGGGACTGAACCCCACACCCTTAGGTGAAAAAGCCTGTAAACGATATTAAAGCAGTCACTTAGGTCACCGTGGATTTCTCTCCTCGTATCTTTTTTTGTATAAAGTATGATTTTTATATTTATTTATTAATAAATTATGATTATTATTAATAAATAACCAATTTATTATACAATACTCCATTAAAATAATTCATAGACTGACTCCGACACGTGACAGGACTTACTGGACAAGAAATGGCTCCACAATTTGGGGGGTTATTGTCGGCGTCAAACATTCAATGCATTCAGACATTTAAAGGCTCTGTCATGAGTTTGATTTTATTACCTTCCAACAGACACTGCATGAGGGGGAATTTTTTTGCTTCAGATTTCTTAGCTGGATTTGGGAATAGCTTGTCGATTGGAATTAGTGTCTATGATCCTCCGCGTCCTGCATTATTGAATATTAGTTCGTTAATTTATTTTTTTTACATGTATCAAAAAAAAATTATTAAGTATATTAATATTTGAAGATTTTTAAAATAATATTTAAAAATATTAATTTATTAAATAAAAAATAAAAATTATTATATTAATTATTAATTATTTTATTAATTAAATCAAATAAAATTAATATTTTTAAAAATAATATTTTATAATTTTAATAATTTTAATATTTTTATTAAGAAAAATAATCTTTCCTTACCGTCCATACATTTGTCAAGAGGAGAAAATGACTGACCCTAGCAGCACATGTGGACTGGCAATGTGCAGCGAAAATGTTGCGGGACTTACTAGACAACAACCTGTTGAAATGGCTCCACAGTTGGTGACCCTTATAAAAAGGTGAAAAAGAAGCAGTGACTCCAGCCCATGGAAATAGGAGTGTTCACATTCGAACATATCCAATTAATTTAGATAAAAAAATCAAAAACCAATTAAATTGGTTTAATTTCTAAGTTTATTTATAACCAACTAATGTGTACTGATTTTTAAAAAAATTAATTAAAAGAAGAATTTTTTTTTATTCTCACTTTTTATTTATTATAATTTTAAAATTATATTCTATGATATTTTTATTTATTATAAATTTATTGAATTCTATGATTTTTTTTATTTTTAACATAAAATTCATGAAAAGAAAAGCAATACAATTAAACTCTCAAAAAAAAAAATTTTTTTGTTAGGACAAAACCGGGATATCTAATTGGAACTGATCCAATTTAATAATAGTTAGATTAGACCAGTGATAATATTATTAATGCTTAAACCTATGAGCGGATTGATGAGTTAGCAAGGTATTCTTTTAATTTAATCAGAAGTGTTGGTTTCAAGTTCTAAAAATGTAATTCCGTTAAAACTCATAAGAGAGAACTTTACTTCTCGTTGAATCCTGTTCGACTCAAATTTAGATTAGTCGATAGCTTAGTGGGCTTTTAAATACTGGGTGGTCCAAACTCAACAAAAATGTTATTAATGCTTAAATTTTAAATTTGGTCTCTTAATTATTGTGTATAGATTTTTGAGTTAGTTCTTAAATTAAAATTTTCTTTAATTTGATTTTTAAAATTTTTAAATTTAGTTTGAAGTTAGTCTTTCATTAAAAAATAATTTATATATTTATTATTTGACAATAGAAAGTCACTATTTGATGATTGTATATTATGTTAATAACAAAATATGTTAATTATTTTTTTAATAAAAAGATTAATTTAGAACTAAATTTAAAATTTTTTGAAATTAAATTAAAATTTTTTTATTCAAATCAATTAAAAAATATATACAATAATTAAGGAACTGAATTGAGAATTTAATCAACATTAATTAAATTAATTTGATTTGATATTTTCTAATTCAATTAAATTTAAATGAGATAAAATATAAAAAAAAAAAAATTGATTCGTCCAAAACCACAAGCACCCCTACATAGAAA